ACCTATGTTTTCCCATGAAACTGTACAATCCAGCACTGTACCAAACCACCATTTTATAACTGAGCTATCAAATCTGATAACTTATTACCCTCCTTGTATTAAATGCATCTTTAATAAAGAAAATTTAGCATTTTTCCTCTCAAGTTGTATTCCTTTTCACTCTGAGTTACAAAGCTCTAACAGGGACACAATCAAGACCCTGATAGGCAGTGAAAACACAGAAATAGATATTAAACACTTCTCTGCTGAGAAAGCATTCACCTCACACCAAGAGTACAGGGACTTCACACTTATCCCCTCTCTGGTCAGCTGTAAAGCTTCAGCCCTTCCCTCGGCCACTTCACTTCTCACACATACTCTCACTTCCCAATTTATTGTATTAGAATCATCTTTTTAGAGTTGTGATATTTTAGGAGTTTAAATCCAAGAATTAGGCTCATGTCTCTTCTGAAAATGTTCCAAGCTTCCTGTCCTGCTCTGCTGCATTATACAATGTTACTCTGCCAAAGCCTTAGCTCATTTCCTCCTCCTGCTTGTCCTGATATGGTGGTACACATCAATAATGCCCTCTCCCTTCCCATTTTCAGACTTTACTGTCTGTCTGGAATGCCCTATCTTTCATGTCCATCTGCGAGGGCCTATCATGCAGGTTCAATGCAGCAGAGGCCTTTACTGACGATATCTGAACCCAGCCCTTCCATCAATTCTCGTAACAAGTTGTACCTTTCTCTAGTAGAGCACCACTTACTACACTCCATCAATTCTTTTTTTTTTTTTCTTTTGGCCATGTGGCATGCAGGATCTTAGTTCCCCAACCAGGGATCATACCATCATCCCCTGCAGTGGAAACATGGAGTCTTCACCACTGGACCCCAGGGAAGTCTCTCCATCAATTCTAAGACACCCTTTTTTCCGTCATATTTCTCTGAAAACAGGATACACCTTACAACTGATGGCATGCCAGTCTCATTAGCAGCATTTCTTCTTTCTCAGTGGTATGCAAAATAACTGTGAGCCTTACAATCATTAGCACCACAGATTTGATAAAATAAGATATTGCAAAAAAAATTTTTTTTAATTTAAAAAAAATTTTTAAAAATAGATATTGCATTCTATGTAATTACTTTGTATACTTCTGTTTCCTTCACTAGACTGTGAACTCCCAGAGGGCAAGGGCTATGTCATAATCATCTTCGACCAGTGGTTTGGGCACAAAGAGAGTGTGTATCCAACAAACACTAGTAATAATTAGCATTCATTTAGCATTTACTAAGTATCAGGTACCATTCTAAACAATTTACATGTATTACCACATTTAACCCTCACAACAACCCTATGAAGTAAGTACAATTATTATCTTTGTTTTATATATGAGGAAACAGGTAAAGACACAAGGGTAAGCTTATTCAAAGACACACAAAGTTGCAGAAGATTTGAACCCATGTTTGCTGATTATGATTCATATTGTTATTATTTTTCCCTTCAGCAAATATTTAATCAGCAATTACTCTATGCCAACAACCGTGCTAAATAAATAAACACTGGTAAGCAAACCCTGGTCCTCAGAAGGCTACTCTGAACCACAGGTCCATTCTTGAATCCTTTACCCTCCAAACATCAGAACCAACTTACAAATTCACTAAGTTAAATCCACTCTCCTCACAACATTGTAAATCAACTATACTTCAGGTTTAATAAATAAATAAATAAATAAATCCACTCTATTTTTCCTTTTTAACATTTTCTCATATAGTATTCCTTTAAAGTTGTTAGCACTCTATCAAGAACCAAAACAGGGCTTCCCTGGTGGCGCAGTGGTTGAGAGTCCGCCTGCCGATGCAGGGGACGCGGGTTCATGCCCCGGTCCAGGAGGATCCCACATGCCGCGGAGCGGCTGGGCCTCTGGGCCATGGCCACTGAGCCTGCGCGTCCGGAGCCTGTGCTCCACAACGGGAGAGGCCACAACAGCGAGAGGCCCGCGTACCGCAAAAAAAAAAAAAAAAAGAACCAAAACAAATGACAAACAGACCAAAAAAAAAAACCCCTTTGTGCTCTATTGTTAAGTGGCTATAAAAATATCACAAAAGTGACTTCAGCTAAGGAATGGGTGGCAAAATCACAAAGGCTCTGAAGAAACAAAGATTCTGTTTGCAAGCAAATATTCTCAGGAAAAAAGAGAGGGAGGTAAAAACACCAAAATTTTGTTTTTATACAGACTGCTTTAAAAAGGTTCCCCCGAGGGGCCTCCCTGGTGCCGCAGTGGTTAAGAATCCGCCTGCCAATGCAGGGGCCACAGGTTCGAGACCTGGTCCGGGAAGATCCCACGTGCCACGGAGCAACTAAGCCCGTGAGCCACAACTACTGAGCCTGCGCTGTAGAGCCTGTGAGCCACAACTACTGAAGCCCGCGCGCCTAGAGCCCGTGCTCCGCAACAAGAGAAGCCACTGCAATGAGAAGCCTGCGCACCGCAACGAAGAGTAGCTCCCACTTGCCCCAACTAGAGAAAGACCGCGAGCAGCAACGAAGACCCAATGCAGCCAAAATACATTAATTAGTTAATTAATTTTTAAAAAAATAAAAAAATAAAAATGATCCCCCGAGGCATGAGATGCTTTTTGCTTTTTTTTTTTAAAGAAAAATGATTCATTTTATTAGAATAAAAATGAACCGGTAAACCTAATTCCTTTTATTTTAGCTCTTGCTATGTCAGGGATTCAGGGGAAGTCCTTACATCCCCTGGCGGGGGATGTAATCCCTTAGGCGGACTGCTCACACAACAAGGCAATCAAGGCACTGGCCATCCCCTTTCTTTCCCTCAGGGGAAGACTCCTCATTCTGTAACAGTAATCTACTACATAAAAGGAACCACAAATAGGAAAGAGAATAGAAGGAGAGGACAGGCAATTCTCATCACAGCTGAACAAACCTCTACCATTTTAACGTAATAAGGATAGCATTTATGGACTTGTTTGAACTGATGGAAGTTTCCAATAGAGGGGAAAATGCATTACCAAAATTAAAAATAAATGTCCAACTATTAAAAATAAGATGGTTAGGTTAGTTCTAACATTTTATACCTCTACTTCATCTTCCATGTGGTGGTGAAAGACAGAATAAATTTGCATCCTGTAAATGACCTATGACAACAGTAACAAATGCTTTCTTTTTTAAACTATCCTCTAAATAAGAATAAAAAACTTACCTCTGTGTTATGGACAGATTTTATTGGGACAGCCAAGGAACTAAAGCAAAAAGTTAAATATAATGTATCACTGTGTATTTCCAGGAAAGAAGTAAAACACATTTTACCAGATGGAGAAGTTAAAGACACCTACGGTGCATTTCCTTATTCCTATAAAATAATTCATTCTCCTTATCTGTGAACCTTCAAGGATCTAATACAGCTACTCCCTACCTTTGGTCAGATGAAAGACAAATCACTCACTAATTTCCAAAAGACCTCACCATTTCAAGCTCCGCATCCTCAGAGCCAGCAGAGCTGAAGCATCGTCTCTTTCTATCCTTTTGAAAGGAGTTTCATCTCTTTCAAAAGCTGTGACTAGAAAGCCATTTTCTCTCTCTCCAAGTACACCGTTTAACTCTGTCCTCTGCTTTGTCCACCCTAAACAGCAAGAACAACAACAAAGCCTCAGGAGCGCTCCTTCAGCCCCTCAGAAACAAACCAGCCACCTTTTGGGCTCCTGCACAGCTGCTTCTGTCTTTCTTTGAGAGGCACTCCACCCTGGAGGTTCCACAGGCAGGGTAACAAAAAGTGGAGATGAAAAGTTGCTATATGCTATCTAACCTCCAAAATAGAGACAGGGCCTTGGGGCAACCAGAGACTCTTGCAACAAAAAACTTTTTTACAATTAAAAAATAACAAATTGTATTCGCACATGCCTCACTGTGCACCCCTCCCAGTTTGTCTCAAACTAGTTTCTTCAACTCATCATAAAGCACGTTAGTACCAACTGTGGTTACAAGGGAACAAACCTAAACGGGCTGTGTTCAGAAAGCATTTAACAGATTGGCCTTCCATTCTCTATTGCCTCCCTCTTGAGTAAGGAGCTACATACCATTTGTAAAAATGCCTGAGAGTATGGTATTTTTCCTACACAAGTCTGATGGTTAATTTGTCACATCACAGAAGAAACTGGTATTTCTGAACATGCACACGATCTGCTGTGCTGATGAAGAAAACACGTCTGTGCTGTGCCTACTGAGGTTTTACAAACAATATGTTTCGCCTTGACAAAGAAATCAGTCGTTCCATTAATAACGGTAAGATCTAAAATCCAGTGATACTGTTGGTGATATAGCAACCTCGGCACAGTACTCACAATTTACAATTTTTATAAACGATCTCAATCACATACATGATGCTTGCAATAGTCCGTTGAAACACATTACATCTTCCAGAGGTTCAGAAAGGTTAAGTGGGACCTGCCCAAGGTTACCTTTCAGCTTTAAACAGCGGTGGACGTGGGTTCGAAACTGCCAGACTCTAAGCCCCTAGCTCTTTTCCTTAGACCCCTCCCAGCTTTAAACGACCCCCACCCTCTACCCAGAGCAGCCTATTACTCCGGGCGACCGGCTCTTCCCTGCCTGGACCAGAGCCGTCTTCTTCAGCCCCAGCAGGGCTTTCATCCTCCACGCACCCCCATCCCCCGAGACGATTCTCTGAAAGAAGCAGAAAGGGAGAGGCGACCGAAAGCTCCCGGGGGAAGGGACGATGACAAACGGGGGAGCGCGGGACACTGCCCCTGCGGCGGGCTCCTTCACTCTGCAGCGCGCACCCCGTTCCCTCCCCAAGCTGTCCAGCCCTGACGCCGGGCCATCTGACCACCCCTGCCCCAAATTCCCGCATCATCATCTCAAACTGTCCCTCCCCCACGCCCCTTCGCCTCCGACAGGCAGAGCCCCCCCACCAAGTCGGAGTATCCCTCCAGCAGGTTACCCCCTTCCCTCCCGTCGCCCACCCCGCTTCCACCACCACTCACTGTCGGTGACTGGGCCCGGCCCTCATGGCTGCTCCGTTGCCGCCCGCCGCCGCCACTGCTGCTCCACGCCCCGGCTCCTCAGTCGCCGCCGCCGCCGCCGCCGCCGCCGCCGTGGGGACTCGCCGGCAGCCGCTCCTGCGCCTGCGCAGCCTGGAGCGCCGGGGCCCTTCCGGGCCGCCCGCGCCTGCGCAGCCCGCACCGGGGGTGTCTGCCTCAGTGCCTGATGCCCTGGACCCCCGGGTCTCGGGTGGACATGGCTGCTGGCTTCGAGGACTTAGTCTTAGAGGCTTTGGCGCCTGCCCCAGGGTCTGAGGCTTCTGGCAGGTAGCGTAGGTTTCTAAACGCGCCCGTAGGGGCCGTAGACTTCATAGCACTTCCAGGATTCTGGATCCCACTTGCACTTAAAGGCCTGAATGCTCTGACGTGACTACTGATAAATTTAGGTTTCTTTCAAGAATACGATCACATCTAGAATGCACTGAGGGGTAATTGTGCAAGAGTCAACTTTGACATCCCTGAATACACTACTGGCCAGTAGGTGCTCAGAAGCTCTGGGGACCTTGTCAAAAAGGTGACTGCACCTAGAATGCACTGTTCAGTCTGTTTATCAAGCTCGTACTGTTTATGGGACGAAAATGCTCTAGGCATCTCATATGTGCCATCGAGGGACTTGCAGGTTAATAGTCCCCTACTTTACAACTCTCGCTGTGGAGCCTGGCTCTTTTGCAAATTGGTAAACAGAAACCAGGCCTTTAGCCCAAGGAGGCCCAGCTGTCACCCCTAGACCCCTACCTAGACTGCTGCCTTATCATAACCCAACAAGAAACTAGGCTCAATTCAGTCCCAGGAATTCAACAATACAAACTTTTTTGTGTCTGGGGGGGTGGGGGTGTGGGCAGCGTCTGGTGGCTTGTGGGATCTTAGTTCCGCAACCAGGGATGGAACCCCGGCTCTAGGTAGTGAAAGCATGGAGTCCTAACCACTGGACCACCAGGGAATTCACCTCAACAATGCAAACTTGAAAGCTGCGGGCGATGCACTGCAGTCAAAGGGAAGAGGAGGTACAGGACGAAACTCTCCTTATCACCGTGACTCTTCCATCCTACCTCCAGCCCAATCTTCTGTCTACAATTCAGAGTCTGGAGGGATAGAGACCAAGATATAATGTAAGTCCAGAGAGACAGAGAGAGACACACACAGAGAGAGAGAAAGAGAAGAAGAAGTTCCATTCTTTTGTGAAGGGTCTTAAGTTCGCTTTACTTCTAGGGAAAGCAAAAGCTACTGTTGGATGCCAGGATCTGGTACGAGTATTTGAACTCCTCATCTAAGATTAATATTTGAACTCCTCATCTAACATTAAGGGTCTTCCTCATTTTGGAAAAAAGCAAAAATAGGCCCTAGAGTAAAGGTTGAAAAGGCTGTAAATGGAATGTCACAGACATGCTGGAGGTAATCGAGCCTGCTCACATTCTTCTGGAAAAGGAGGCAGGAAGATATATACAAATGCATATAATGGAATTCTCAGGTCCCTAAGAAACTAAGGGTTACTCCCTGAAGCACCTAGGAAACTAAGAATTTTTTTTTCTCCTCAGATGCTTGTGACTTTTACATACATAGGCTTTTACATATATACATATGTTGCTGTAGAGAAAGTGTATAAATTGGCATAATCCTGTCCCTAGAAAAGCAAATCTACTCAAAGGTTCAGGCTTCATGTATGAATACCCTCCCAGCTAGGGAGTTCCATCTGGACATACGTAGAGTAAACTACAACAGCTGAGAGGGTGGTAGGCAGTAAACAGGACATCCTGTAGGTGGGGCCCTACAGAGCCTAGCTCCAGGCTTAGAAGGGTTGTCATTACTTGCAAAAGTATTGTCCTTTGGAATGAGAGCACATTTGGCACCACAGGGGAATTGCAGAACCAGAAAGGAGCAAGAATTAATATCAACACGATGTTCTGATGAATGGATGACTAAAAAGAAGGCCATAGCTGCCCCTGAAGCTTCTGGGAACCGTGACTTCCTAACCCCACCACCACACACAGCCCCTGAGAAGGCCTGCTGGAATCTATATGATGATGGCATATTTTCTTATATTTGAACCATAAGGGTCTCCTGAGCCATTTCCCTATTTGAATATCTTACCAAAGGCAAAATTGTGATTTTTTTTTCCTGCCAAGCATTCACTCACTATATCCAATGATACTCATTCAGAGATTCACCCCTACTCCAATTTCAGACCATGTGGATGAGCAAATAGCCTAGACCCCAAGTCAATCAACACGTAACATTCCCTAAGTTACAATGACTGTTTCATGGATGGGCATGTAACCCAGTCAGAGCCAAAAATGCACAAGGAGTTCCTTCTGGGAAGATCTGTTGCTCTTTCCCACAAAAACTGGATGTAAGAAGATACAATATCTGGAACTGCTTCACATGTTGACACCACCAAGGGACCACCAATCCAAAGAAAGATGTAATTTATTCAGTCACTGAACAATGTGCCAGACACTATGTGCCAGACACTGCTCTAGATGCAGGAGACACAGTAGTGACATACATATAAAATATCTATATTATTTGTCCTCTCACAACTTACAGTCTAGTAGAGGACATATAATAATAATAGCAGGGACTTCTCTGGTGGCACAGTGGTTAAGAATCCGCCTGCCAATGCAGGGGACACGGGTTCGAGCCCTGGTCCGGGAAGATCCCACATGCTGTGGAGTAACTAAGCCCATGCGCCACAACTACTGAGCCCGCGTGCCACAACTACTGAAGCCCGTGTACCTAGAGCCCGTGCTCTGCAACAAGAATCCCGCAATGAGGAGCCCACACACTGCAAGGAAGAATAGCCCCTGCTCACCACAACTAGAGAAAGCCCACGTACAGCAGCAAAGACCCAACACAGCCAAAAATAAATAAATAAAATAAATAAATTTTAAAAAAGAAAAGAATCTGCCTGCCAATGCAGGGGACACAGGTTTGAGTCCTGGTCCGGGAAGATCCCACATGCTGCAGAGCAAGTAAGCCTGTGCACAACTACTGAACCTGCACTCTAGAGCCACAACTACTGAGCCCACATGCCACAACTACTGAAGCCTGGGTGCCTAGAGCCCGTGCTCCACAACAAGAGAAGCCACCGCAATGAGAAGCCTGCGCACTGCAGCAAAGAGTAGCCCCCGCTCACCGCAACTAGAGAAAGCCCACGTGCAGCAACGAAGACCCAACACAGCCATAAATAAATAAAAAATAACAGCAGACACATAGCATTTACAATGTGCCAAGCACTGTTCTAAGCACTTTACACATATTAAATTCTTTTAATTGTAACAACCCTCTTTTACAACAACAATCAAAATTCCTGTTTTATAGATGAGGAAACTGAAGTAGAGAGAAGTTACTTGCCCTGGGTCACACAGTAAAATAATGAGGTTGAGAACCATAGCCAGGATGTCTGTCTCAATAATCTGTGTGCTCATTCACTATATTATTAACTGCTTTGTCATAGAAGGATAAAGGATCCTAAGAGAAAATTTAACCAGCCATGGAAGGAACAGGTTATGGAAAGACCTAGAAGTAAGAGAGAATACCAGGCAATTGGGGGACTGAAAAAAATTCAGTTGAGCTGAAAAAGAGGAACAAGAGATGAGACTGGCAAAGTAAGCTGGAGCCACGTTACTTACTTTACACTTTATCGTGAGGGCACTGAAGCAAGGGAGTGACTCGGTTAGATTGGGGCCATCAGGAGGTAGGTAAGACCCTGAAGAGCCCTGCGCAGCCTCTTACAGTATTCCAGACACTGCAACAGAATCATTGCAGGTAGTGATAAATGCTGTGAGGAAAAGGCTCTCTGAGGAAGTGACATTTCAGCTGAGACCTGAATGGGGAGCAGAAGCCAAATCTAGAACATAGGAGGCAGGAGTAGCAGGTGTAAAGGCCCTGAGGCAGAAATTAGCTTGATATATTCAAGAGAAAACTAGTGTGCCTGACACCTTGGGAGTAGAAGTTAGCAGGGCTCAATGCATGCAAGGACTTTGGACTAATCTAGTTGTAATAGGAGGCCACTGGAGGGTTTCAAGCACCATCTCCTTCAAATTCTATCTCCTTAAATCTCTGGAATCCATCTGTTTCTGTCCACCATCTTCACTGCAATATTTTAGTGAGAAAGATAAAGTGACTTCTATTGGAAAAGGACTTGGGGGTCAAAGAAGTTTTTGGTTTTTGGTTTTCAGATGGAAGAGGTGAAGCCTTTAAAAAATAAATGCTGGGCTTCCCTGGTGGCGCAGTGATTGGGCGTCCATCTGCCGATGCTGGGGACGCGGGTTCGTGCCCCGGTCCGGGAGGATCCCACGTGCCGCGGAGCGGTTGGGCCTGTGAGCCATGGCCGCTGAGCCTGCGTGTCCGGAGCCTGTGCTCCGCAACGGGAGAGGCCGCGGCGGTGAGAGGCCCGCGTACCGCAAAAAAAAATAAATAAATAAAACATAAATGCTGATGGGAGGTCACCCTGATACCAAAACCAAACAAAGATGCCACATAAAAAGAAAACTACAGGGCTTCCCTGGTGGCGCAGTGGTTGAGAGTCCGCCTGCCGATGCAGGGGACACGGGTTCGTGCCCCGGTCCGGGAAGATCCCACATGCCACGGAGCGGCTAGGCCCGTAAGCCATGGCCGCTGAGCCTGCGCGTCCGGAGCCTGTGCTCCGCAACGGGAGAGGCCACAACAGTGAGAGGCCCGCGTACGGCGAAAAAAAAAAAAGAAAACTACAGGCCAATATCTCTGATGAACATAGATGCAAAAATCCTCAACAAAATACTAGCAAACAGAATCCAACAGCACATTAAAAGGATCATACAACATGATCAAGTGGGGTTTATCCCAGGAATGCAAGGATTCTTCAATATATGCAAATCAATCAATGTGATACACCATATTAACAAATTGAAGGATGAAAACCATATGATAATCTCAATAGATGCAGAAAAAGCTTTTGACAAAATTCAACACCCACTTATGATAAAAGCTCTCCAGAAAGTAGGCCTAGAGGGAACCTACATCAACATAATAAAGGCCATATATGACAAACCCACAGCCAACATCATTCTCAAAGGTGAAAAGCTGAAACCATTTCCACTAAGATCAGGAACAAGACAAGGCTGCCCACTCTCACCACTATTATTCAACATAGTTTTAGAAGTTTTAGCCACAGCAATCACAGAAGAAAAAGAAATAAAAGGAATCCAGATCAGAAAAGAAGAAGTAAAACTGTCACTGTTTGCAGATGACATGATACTATACATAAAGAATCCTAAAGATGCTACCAGAAAACTACTAGAGCTAATCAATTAACTTGGTAGAGTAGCAGGATACAAAATTAATGCACAGATATCTCTTGCATTCCTATACACTAATGATGAAAAGTATGAAAGAGAAATTAAGGAAACACTCCCATTTACCATTGCAACAAAAAGAATAAAATACTTAGGAATAAACCTACCTAAGGAGACAAAAGACGTGTATGCAGAAAACTATAAGACACTGATGAAAGAAATTAAAGATGATATCAACAGATGGAGAGATATACCTTGTTCTTGGACTGGAAGAATCAATATTGTGAAAATATTACCCAAAGCAATCTACAGATTCAATGAATCCCTATCAAACTACCAGTGGCAATTTTCACAGAACTAGAACAAAAAATTTCACAATTTGTATGGAAACACAAAAGATCCTGAATAGCCAAAACAATCTTGAGAAAGAAAAATGGAGCTGGAGGAGTCAGGTTCCCTGACTTCAGACTATACTACAAAGCTACAGTAATCAAGACAGTATGGTACTGGCACAAAAATAGAAATATAGATCAATGGAACAGGATAGAAAGCCCAGAGATAAACCCACGCACATATGGTCACCTTATCTTTGATAAAGGAGGCAAGAGTATACAATGGAGAAAAGACAGCTTCTTCAATAAGTGGTGCTGGGAAAACTGGACAGCTACATGTAAAAGAATGAAATTAGAACACTTCCTAACAAACATACACACAAAAAAAGTAAACTCAAAATGTATTAAAGACCTAAATGTAAGGCCAGACACTATAAAACTCTTAGAGGAAAACATAAGCAGAACACTCTATGACATAAATCACAGAAAGATCCTTTTTGACCCACCTCCTAGAGAAATGGAAATAAAATAAACAAATGGGACCTAATGAAACTTAAAAGCTTTTGCATAGCAAAGGAAACCATAAAGATGAAAAGACAACCCTCAGAATGGAAGAAAATATTTGCAACTGACAAAGGGTTAATCTCCAAAATATACAAGCAGCTCATGCAGCTCAATATCAAAAAAAAAACAAAAAACAGACAACACAATCTAAAAATGGGCAGAAGACCTAAATAGACATTTCTCCAGAGATATACAGATTGCCAACAAACACATGAAAGGATGCTCAACATCACTAATCATTAGAGAAATGCAAGTCAAACACTACAATGAGGTATCACCTCACACTGGTCAGAAGGGCCATCATCAAAAAAATCTACAAATGATAAATGCTGGAGAGGGTGTGGAGGAAAGGGAACCCTCTGGCACTGTTGGTGGGAATGTAAATTGACACAGCCACTATGGAGAACAGTATGGAGGCTCCTTAAAAAACTAAAAGTAGAACTACCATACGACCCAGCACTCACACTACTGGGCATATACCCTGAGAAAACCATGATTCAAAAAAGAGTTGTGTACGACAACGTTCATTGCAGTTCTATTTACAATAGCCAGGACATGGAAGCAACCTAAGTGTCCATCGACAGATGAATGGATAAAGAAGGTGTGGCAAATATATACAATGGAATATTACTCAGCCATAAAAAGAAACAAAATTGAGTTATTTGTAGTGAGGTGGATGGACCTAGAGTCTGTCATACAGAGCAAAGTCAGTCAGAAAGAGAAAAACAAATACCTTATGCTAACATATATATACGGAATCTTAAAAAAAAAAAAAAAGGTTCTGATGAACCTAGGGGCAGCACAGGAATAAAGACACAGATGTAGAGAATGGACTTGAGGACATGGGGAGGTGGAAGGGTAAGCCGGGACGAAGTGAGAGAGTAGCACTGACATATATACACTACCAAATGTAAAATAGATAGCTAGTGGGAAGCAGCTGCATGGCACAGGGAGATCAGCTCGGTGCTTTGCGACCACTTAGAGGGGTGGGATAAGGAGGGTGGGCGGGAGACGCAAGAGGGAGGGGATATGGGGATACATGTATGTATATAGCTGATTCACTTTGTTATACAGCAGAAACTAACACAACACTGTAAAGCAGTTATACTCCAATAAAGATGTTAAAAAATATATACACTGGAGCTTCCCTAGTGGCGCAGTGGTTGAGAGTCCAGCTGCCGATGCAGGGGATGAGGGTTCGTGCCCCGGTCCGGGAAGATCCCCATGCCACGGAGCGGCTGGGTCCGTGAGCCATGGCCGCTGAGCCTGCGCGTCCGGAGCCTGTGCCTCACAACGGGAGAGGCCACAACAGTGAGAGGCCCGCGTACCGGAAACAAACAAACAAACAAACAAACAAAAAAATATATATATATACTGATGGGAGGCATATAGTACAGAGAGAAATTGTCTATACAGAAAAGAAAGGATAGGGGCTTCCCTGGTGGAGCAGTGGTTAAGAATCTGCCTGCCAATGCAGGGGACATGGGTTCGAGCCCTGGTCCAGGAAGATCCCACATGCCGCAGAGTAACTAAGCCTGTGCGCCACAACTACTGAGCCTATGCTCTATAGTCCATGAGCCACAACTACTGAGCCTGCGTGCCACAACTACTGAAGCCCACGCGCCTAGAGCCCGTGCTCCGCAACAGGAGAAACCACTGCAATGAGAAGCCCACGCACCGCAACGAAGAGCGGCCCTCATTCGCCGCAACTAGAGAAGGCCCGCACGGAGCAACGAAGACCCGAGGCAGCCAAAAAATAAATAAATTAAATAAATAAATTTACTTTAAAAAAAAGAAAAGAAAGGATAATTCATGGAACAAGGTTTCTGAGGGGGTAAAACAGCCTTAAGATAGGAACATTTATTAAGAGCCTACATTGTTCTAAACCCTAGATTCAAATGAACATATGATATTAGATAAATGTTTATTATCATCTGCATTTTACAGAAGAGGAAACTGACACGTGGAGAGTTTAAATAACTTGTCCAAACTCACACAGCTAATAAGTGGCCAGCTGAGATATGAACCCAGGCAGTCTGATTCATTTGATTAATCTCTCCTAACCTCACAAAATACAAAATTCCCCCCACAATATCCCTTGATAGATAGAAAATCTCTGGGAAAGAAGAGAATTAACAAGACACTTTGAATCATTTCCCCTAAGTTTTTGTGTCATCCCTGGGATTCTTTCACTGTTATCTGTTACCACCAGTGTAGTACTTAATATGTGTTCCTTGGGTGATAGTTGCATTTATGCAATTAAGCTCTTCAACTACTGTTTAACCTGACATTTCCCTTCTCCTAAATTGCAGTTGAAATGGTATTTCACCTAACTGTCCATGAAGGAAGATTTGTATTTTTCTGATTGTTGGCTGTCTCATATTTAGTAGCATCTTTTTATTTGGACACCCATATGCCCAAAGGATATCCAGAATATCATGTTCCAAAAAGGTTGTTTCTTCTACTAACAGAGCAGGCAGCCTGAAAGCTGGAACCTGACACCATTTGCAAACCATCAGTGCATCTGGCTGCCCAAGGCTCTGTCAATCCATGTCACTAAGAGCTTCTCTGGACACTCAGCATCCACTCCGACAACAGCAGCCTGGCCAGTTGGTTCTTACCATCCTCCAACAATTCTCCCCTCTCTGTCCTATATCATCCATTTCTTCCTCTCTACTAGGTCACTACCATGAGCAAACAAAAACTTCCCATCTTAAAAAAAAGAAAAAGGAAATCGTCTCTTAACTCCACCCCTCTCTTCCACTCTTGTGTTACCATTCTCTTTTGCTCAGCTCCTCTGGTAAGAGTTGTATATATATTCTGGCCGCCCTCAATTCCTTTCCCCTCATTCTCTCTTAAACCCACTCCATTTAGGCTTTCACCCAGACCATTCTACTGAAACTATTCCTGTCAGGTCACAGGTCACTTACATATCTCTCTCTCTCTCTCATACACACACACACACACACACACACACACACACACACACACACACGCACAGCCCCCAGGATACAAGTCCCGTGCTGGAGATTTCTGTCCGCTTTGTTCATTGTTGTATCCTCAGCACCTCCAAACCCGCGAGATTTATCCCTCAATTCCAAAAGTCTGACTGAGGCTTCAAAGGATGAAGAGAGGGCTTAAGGCCACAGATCGGCCAAGGTATATCAGGTTCCTCAGGCCGCTAAGGCAGTCCGGGAGATCCTAGGTGACTAAGCCGCTTCTTCTCCCTTTGCAGACCCTCTGGTTTTTCTCCAGAAAGGAATGGCCTCAGAGAGGAGATAGTAGCCCAGTCTTACAGGAGGGAAATCCGGGTCTGCTGCTCATCGGGAACACCGACCCTTCCTTACAGGAGGCTCCCATAAAGTAAAGGTACAGACTGCCGGAGGCCGCTGCCGACGCTATGCCAAGCCAGAGGGGCACTGGGAGGGGATCCTGCAAGCCTGAGGCTGGAAAGGACTAAAAAGACCCTCACGGGGAGCAGTACACGGTCCCACGCCCCGGACCATCCCTCCTTCGTTGCGCGAGTTTCTCCCGCTTAGTGAGGTCAGGCGCTAAGAGAACGATTTTGCCGCTTGGCCTCGTGGGAGATGTAGTCTTTCATGAGGCAGGGCTAGAAGGGCCTTCTACAAAACTTTGGCAGGAGAAGAAGAAAACACGATGCGTATGAGAATCCAAAAGATCTTCAAGCTCACACAAACTCTAAATACACCTTTTTCCCCGTTCCTTAGCCTCGGGCAGTCTCCAGAGCGGTTCCAACTCCAGCCCACCTCCAATGTCCCATGTTCCTCCGCTCTGTTCGGGCCGATCTAGCTCTCTCCCGCTCGCTCGCCTCTCCGCAGCACTGTCCAATCATAGGTGCGTTCCTGGGAGTTCCCGGAGTGCCTTGCGGTTGCGATGGCTGCCCCCGGCAGGCGAGGTGCTGAGCTCCTTCGAACAGTGTTAGGGGTTTGGCCGCCGGGTCCCGACGCCGCGAGGGAATGGGTGACCCGGCTCCCCTTGCTCTTGGGCAGTCAGCAGAGGTGCGTCTCCTGTGTCTCGGGCCCGGCCTTTTCTGGTCCCCGCCTGGCCTCGGCTTCTCGCCCTAATGGCCAGAGCTCAGCCCTGGACTGCTTCCTCGGACTCTCTCAGCCAGACAGCTCGTTGAATTTTCGCGTCCCCGCCGTGTCCATGCACAGAGGTAAAGGGCCCAGATAGATTTGTCTGGGATTGTCACTGTTTTAGCACAGAAAGTCCCGTGTCGGGGAAACGCCTCAGTCTCTGGGGATATCGTCTTTGGCTCTGTATTACAGAAAACGATCTTGAGGCCCCGAGAGAGAGAAGCGAGTAGTGAAGGATCTCATAGGAAAGAGATACTAGGTTCTAAGAGTTTTCGAGCCAGAGGGAACCGATCTGGTCACAACCACAGACGTTCACAAAGAGCAGGAGATTGAAGGGCCACAGGCATGGAAGAGTTGTGGCTCTCTGTCCTCACATGGGGAGCAAGCTTGACCCATCTACTTGTCAAGACACTGAGTTACAGTTGGCCCTTGAACAACTCGGGGCAGAGGTGTTAGGGGTGCAGAACCCATGCAATCGAAAATCCTCATATAATTTATTGTGGGCCCTCCGTATATGCAGCTCGTCCGTATCCACGATTCCCATCTGAGGATTCAACCAACTGCACGTCGCATAGTACACATGTAGTGACGAATAAAAAAACAAAATAACCTGCGTATAAGTGGACCAACACAGTTCAAACCCATGTTGCTCAAGGGTCAACTGTACACCTGGAAATAGCACCCTCTATTCTTCAAGTAGCATAGACTAAAGGCTGAACACAAAAACTGGTAACTACGATGCAGTGTCATGAGGAGCAATTACAGAAAGACTGAGAAAGTTTGCAGAGCCTTCATTGTACCCTTAGTAGGGTAAGATAGAGCTGGAGGGATTTCTGGCTTTATCTGGTATAGAGATACTTTCACACATGTACATACATTTACTGGGCACAACTACACAATACGATTCCACAAGGTTATTGAGTATTAAGTGCCAGGCATTGTGCTGAGTGGTTTCACACAATTGCCAATGGTCAAAAGGTTATACAGTAAGTAGTCATCAATACCATTTCTGTTTTACATATGAGAAAACTAAGGGGCTTAGAGCAGTTAGAGAACTTGATAAAGGCATATAAACAACGTAATGGACAAACTGAATCTCAAAGCCAGGTCTCGGCTTCAACCTGATGCATGAATCTCGTATCCATATTCCCTTTGTGGATGCGTAGGACCAAGTACCTGACAGGGGATCCATGTTGCACTACCTCTCACTCCCCTCCCATTCCCACACACAGATGAGCAGGATCTCCTTTTGGTCCATCGCCCCGACATGCCTGAGAACCCCCGAGTCCTACGAGCGGTCCTCCTGGGTGCCCCGAATGCAGGAAAGTCAACCCTCTCCAACCAGCTGCTGGGCCGAAAAGTATGCTGCATCCTTGACACCCCCGACCCTTTCATTTCTCACTTCTTACTGTGCTTTCGTGGATTGTTCTAGAGGGATCTGGGACCTCACTTGGGACTTCTTTGTTCCTGGCAGGTGTTCCCTGTCTCCCAGAAGGTGCACACCACTCGCAGCCAAGCTCTGGGGGTCATCACAGAGAAAGAGACCCAGGTGGTGGGTACTTGCAATGGATGTCCAGCAAACAGGACAGAGGTTGAAGCTAAGAGGGTCTCCCTTACTGTTGGACCTGAAGAAAATGATGCTTAGGCTCACTGCTCTGAGGGAAGGGGGCTCCTCTTCCTTTTAGGCCTGTGCAGTTCTCTCTCTACCTTCCCCCTTCGGCATCTAGTCAGAAAGGTCTCACTGCCTCTTTACTGCTTCCTAGTCTTCCAGATATTCACAGTTGTTCTCTTTCTCCTGGATCCTATCTAGAATTAAAGCAAGGCTGGAGGGTAAAAATTGGCCAAGAAGTGGGGGCAGGCTCCTGACATCAAGGGTGGGTGACCTTTCACTACCCAGCCATAATCTTTCCTCCTGGGGTCGGGGGTCTGCACATCTCTTTTTCCTGATTTTAGATTCTACTTGACACACCTGGCCTCATCAGCCCTGCTAAACAGAAAAGGTAATATCTGGGGAAACAGGGAGTTGTAGGGGGGAAAGATGTTGAAGAGGGAGTGGGGAGATTCCATCATAGGGGCTAGAAAACCCCCTTATCACACCCCATCCCTCCTCAGGAGGGCATCACTCCCAAGACCCTTTCTGATCTATGTATGTCTGACCCTTAGGCACCATCTGGAGCTCTCTTTGTTGGAAGATCCATGGAAGAGCATGGAATCTGCTGATCTGGGTTAGGCTCAGGATGGGAATCTGAAGCCCAATTTACATGGTCATGGCCTCTCATTGCTGATAGTTTGGGGGGAATGGGGGTTGGCCAGATCCCATACCCTGGAAGTTTTGGGGGTTAAGGGGAATGAGTGGTCATAACCTTGTCCTCCCTACACTGCCAACTGCCAGTTGTGGTTCTCGTGGATGTCTCGGACAAGTGGACTCGGAACCAGCTCAGTCCCCAGGTGCTCCAGTGCTTGACCCAGTTCTCCCAAGTCCCCAGCATCCTTGTCATGAACAAGGTGAGCACCACCTACCTGAGGAAGGGGTCTACTTCAAGGGTCCCGTCTCACTGACCACAGTCCTCTGCCCGTCCCCCACCCCCAGGTTGATTGCCTGAAGCAGAAGTCAGTTCTCCTGGAGCTTACAGCAGCCCTCACTGAAGGTGTGGTCAATGGCAAGAAGCTCAAAATGAGGCAGGCTGTCCGCTCGCAGCCGGGCAACCATTGCTCCAGCCCAGCAGCTAAGGGCCCAAACACACTGTCTGTGGGAGACCCTCAGCGCATTGGCTGGCCCCACTTCCAGGAGATCTTCATGTTGTCAGCCCTAAGCCAGGAGGATGTGAAAACACTAAAGGTCAGTTGGCCTTGACCATAGCCTGGCCCTTGGTTTCCACCATGTGAAGACAAGCCTCAGAGTTCCTCCTCTTGGAAGTGAGAGTGAGAGGAAAGTCCTGCTTGGGACTGAGATGCCTACCTACTCCCTCTGTGCCCATAGCAATACCTCCTGGCACAGGCCCGGCCAGGGCCCTGGGAGTTCCACAGTGGAGTCCTCACCAGCCAGACGCCTGAGGAGATCTGCGCCAACATGATCCGAGAGAAGCTCCTGGAGTACCTGCCCCAGGAGGTGCCCTACAACGTGCAGCAGGTGCAGGCGCAGTTAGGGGTCATGGGGCTCTCCATCAGGCACACGCCCGGAGCAGACAGCTGGGTCCCGAAGAGGGCGGGGTAGGGGCCTGCCTGACCAGTCACGGTGTCTCCCTGTGCAGAAGACAGTAATGTGGGAGGAAGGGCCAGACGGGAAGCTGATGATTGAGCAGAAGCTTCTGGTGCCCAAAGAATCTCACATGGTAAGCAGGGCCGGGCTTGGAGGAGGGACCAGTACTCTGTTAGGCAGGGGTTCTTCCCTGACTGCTTGGGAGCTCTGAGAGCAGGCTCACGTCCCTGTCTTTTACCCCACCCTCAGAGGATCCTGATCGGTCCGAAAGGGCACCTGATCTCCCAGGTGGCACAGGAGGTGGGCCGCGACCTCATGAACATCTTCCTCTGTGAAGTTCAGCTCCGCCTGTCTGTGAAACTCCTCAAGTGACCACCCTCTGATAGCTTTCCCAAGGCATCCCTGCCCAGGCTGCTGGCGGGAGCCACTGACCAGAGCTGCCCTTACCTGGGGCCTGCAGGGCCTGGAGCCGGGCCTGGACAGTGACTGGGTGGCTGGCCGAGCATGCACAGCCCCTGCCCGGCCATGCCTCCTGCTGGAGGAAGGAATCTGCCTTAGCCTAGTTCCCACGTGGTTCCTCTGCCTGGGCCTGTAGCTACTTAGGTCTTAGAAGCTGGCCCTTTGGTGTGGGAGCACTTCTGCCACCTGGCATTGGGCCGAGTTTCTTCCTGAGTTGTTAGCAGGGAGATCTTTCCCCTCCCCTCAGTTCGTACACCTTGCAGCTGTGTAAGGACCCACGTGTCCTGAGTGAGATAGTGCCTCCCACCTGCTCCTCAAGTCCTTGATCCCTCTCTCCAATCTCGGATGCTAATAAAGTTGAAAGACAAGCAGCATTCTGGGTCTCATCTTTATTTCTTTAGAACAGGAAAGAAAACGTACCCATTCCCTCCACCCCTACCCCGTTGTCTGAGCTGGAGTCTCCCTCCCTTCAGTAGGCTGCTCCAGGGTCCCGAGCAATCTTCTTGGCACGTTTTCTGGGTGCAGCAAGAGAACCGTTACCATTACTAAACTCAGTAATGGTAACGGTTTCCTCGCCACCCCCAAGTGCCCTGGCGGTCGGCAGGCTGTGATAGGCTGAGCAGTGAGAACGGTGGGCTTGCAGCAACCCCTGGCCTCTTCATCAGCCTCCAGAGCTGGGAGTACCCGGACTAGTACATCATCTATACTGTAGTGTCTCATCACAAACTTACAGTATATGATGATATCCCAGCCAGGGCCCTGCAGGAGGCACAGGGAGCATGGCTTGAAGAGCACTGTGGCAGAGAGAGCCAGGCACTGGGGGCACAGCAGGACAGGTCAGGGATGGACACAGCTCCCCACTCCCTGGCCGGCATCTCCTTGATTCTGTGGTCAAGGGCAGCCTGAAGGGGACTGATCCAAAGAGCCCTTCAGAGCTAGGGTCTGTTGAGATGTCCTTAGGGACCCAGTGCCGGAGTTTAATAAGCCAGAGGTCACATAATGAAGCGGAAAATTTCCTCTGGTCAGACCAACAAGCAGACAGACCCAGAGGAGGAACACTTACCTGGGGCTGGAACTGCAGACTAAGGCCTTTGGAAGTAGGGAAACCCTATCCCTCCTGCCTCTCCACTCAAGCTGCTCCCTTTTAATCCACCAGCTGGCCCCTCCCCTTGGGCGGGGCACTTTCACGGGTTCTGGAAGGCCCTGCCTCTTAACCCTTTCCCTGCTAGACTCCTTGGACTGAGGGTCACTGGCCCTTCTCCATTAGGCCCTTTGTCACATACTCTTTGCGCTTTTTTTTTTTTTTTTCCCTCCCCCGGTACGCGGGCCTCTCACTGTTGTGGCCTCTCCCGTTGCGGAGCACAGGCTCCGGACGCGCAGGTTCAGCGGCCATGGCTCACGGGCCCAGCCGCTCCGCGGCATGTGGGATCCTCCCGGACCGGGTCACGAACCCGTGTCCCCTGCATCGGCAGGCAGACTCAACCACTGCGCCACCAGGGAAGCCCTGTCACATACTCTTTTATGGACCTTGCTAAGCCTGCTAGGCTTGGGCCTGGCTGAAGAAAAAACAGCCTCACCCCAGCCATCCTGCAGGGCTTAATTGCTGGTCAGAGCCCTGGGGAGGTGGTAGTGGTTGTTTTTGGTGGTGGGAATGTTAGTTTGAATCTCTATAAGGCAGGGAGGGTCCTGATATCTGGATCTTGGGGCAAGCGCTGACCTAAATTTCAGTCCCCCGGCCCTTGTCTATGTTTATGCTGAACCCAAGGAGGCCGGACCCTTTGCCCACCTCTGCCAGGGCAAGGTCCTCTAGGGGGAGGGGTCCTCTGCCGGAACATTTGAGGGTGGCTGGCTGAGTCCCAAGCTCACGTGGGAGCCAGCTTAGGAAAGGGTAGGGGCTGTTCGTCAGAGCTCAAGGCCCCCAGAGTGAGAGCCCGGCAGTATTAGGTTCTCTGCCTCTGGGAAAGGTGAGACTTGGAGTAGAGACTCCTCAAAGCAGGGCCTCTGCTCCTTGGACCCCCATTCTGGGGAACACGTCTGCTTTTCTGCTCCCTCCCCTTCTCCTCTCCTAGACCATCTGGTGTGTATTCTGGGAAGCAGTTACACCCCTCTCTGCAGGGGCAGATGAGGCCAGGATGGGGAGTGAGGGGAGAGACCCAAACTTCTTTCGGTTCCTTGGAGGTGTTTTATCTCCTGCCGTCGCAGAGGCTTGGCACATGCTCTTGACTCTGTTTGATGATCTTCCCTCCTTTCTTGTCTAGTTAACTCTTATTCCCTCTTCAGATCTCTAAGTGTCTCTTCTGCAGGGAAGTTTTTCCTGGCTAGTTAAATCCCCCTGTTATGGGCTCGTTTATTTGTGTGATTATTCACGTTAAGCAGATAATCACGAGGGCCTGGTTTATTCACCATTGTATCTCTACCACAGAGCAGTGACTAAACAGGCATTCACGTCGGATGACTGATGTGGGGGAGGGGAGAGACTTTGACCTGAGGAGGCAAACTGACAAAGATGTGGCTCTCTCAGGCAAGCCATTTTCTTGGACCATCCATGTTCGCCTTTGTAAACAGGAGCAATAACAGTCCCCAGTTCGCAGAGCTGTGAGAGCTAGGTGATGAGCTGCCGGTAAAGCACTTAGCACTTAGCCCACAGAAGGGGTTAAACAAATTAATGCCTACTTCACCCGCTTCCCACAGGGGCTCGCTGAAGGCCGCAGGTGAGGCCTGTTGCTTCTTTTTAATTTATTTATTTATTTTTGGCTGCATTGGGTCTTCGGTGCTGTGCGTGGGCTTTCTCTGGTTGTGGCGAGCGGGGGCTACTCTTCATTGCAGTGTGTGGGCTTCTCATCGCAGTGGCTTCTCTTGTTGCGGAGCCTGGGCTCTAGGCACGCGGGTTCTAGAGCACAGGCTCAGTAGTTGTGGCTCACAGGCTTAGTTGCTCTGCGGCACGTGGGATCTTCCCGGACCAGGGTTCGAACCCGTATCCCCTGCATTGGCAGGCGGATTCTTAACCACTGCGCCACCAGGGAGGTCCCGAGACCTGTTGTTGAACATCTGAAAACTCATGAAATACTCTTGAAAGCAGCTGGAGGCCATAGAGAAAGCCCAGGGTTAGAGGTAACAGGCCTGGAGTGACAGTCCCGACTCCATTGCATCCAGCTCTGTGCCTCTGGGCCAAGTGCTCTCTGCTTCAGTCTCCTCAAATGTAAAATGGGCGCTGTCCAACCTACCTCAAGCGGTGGTTACAAGGATTATGGGAGCACTCATGTCAAACACCCAGATCAGAGCCCAGCGTGCATGAACCAATGTCAGTTTCCTTCTCTCTTTTCCTGTTTCACTCTCTTGCTGTGTGACTGGGGGCAAATGCCACTGTTCTGAGCTTTGGTGATAATACGTATTTTACCAAGTTGTAAGAATTAAGTGAGAAATGTGGGTGAGAAGGGCTGTAGGTACTAATTTACCTACATTATGTAGGTACTAATTCCAGTGAGGAATTATCCTTGTCTACTCCTGCCTCCCTGCGACCCCCTTTCCTGTCCTGTGACCCCACAGATAATCCAGGCTCCTTTCCCAGAGTAAAGCCTTCATGCACTAGGGCCAAATTCATGCCACTCGCTGGCTAGGTTTCCACTTAGACCCTGGGGGCCAAGTCCAAGGGTGAGCATGGACAGAACTCAGGGGTCCTGGAGGTAGAGGAGAAATATCTCCACCAGCCAGAGATCTTGTGACTGTGGCCTCAAGCTGGGTGGAGGAGCCTGCGCTCAGGGTGTGGGCTGAAGGAGAGCCTGAGCCTGGGCGGGGTAGTCTGGGGACCCTGATTAGCAGACTTAGGGCTATCAGGGTAGGGGCCCTTTTGCTTATCAGGAGCTTGCAGGGGCCACAGTAGAACCTGAGGACACTTCATGCTGAGGGCGGTCTCCTGGATGGCTGCTTTTCCATCCTTCTCCCTCCTTAGAACCCTGAGGGGAGTTAGGTTGGGAGTACTTCTCCCTTTCTGCAGGTCACGTGGAGACTCTGCCCCTTGCCTGGCAGCCAGCCTGGGGTTGGGGGACACAATCCCAGTCCTTGGGAGAAGCCTTATATGCTCACAGCTTTTTCTTCAGACTAGGAGCTTCATGGCTCTCCTGAGACTGGGGTGGGCTTGTCTGGGACCTTATCCTTCCAAAGTCTGATTCCAGTCCCTGCCACTGCAGCTTTAAACGTTTGACTCTTATTTTGTCCTTCTTTGGATGAAGTCCTTAAACCATGTGCTGAGTGATGAAATTAAGGACAGTAAGATCTGCAAGTTTCCTTCAAAATCATGAAGTTCAAGTCCCTCCTTTATATAAGAGAGGAAACTGAGGCCCAGAGGAGGGGAGGATGTATCATCCAAAGCCTCAGGGTTCCCTCCACCTCTCAGAATCAGGGAACCCATGACCCTATGAGGAATAGGAAGGCAGCAGCAGGTACCCACAGGTACACAGACATACAGAGTCACACACAGATACACATACACAACACACATGTATGATGTCTGCATAGACCTATAACACACGGAGATACACATCAAAGAAACGGGACTCAGCTAGTAAAATTACTCTTAATTTTCTCTTGGTTGTTTTACTAAGTTTCACGAAGTCGGCAGTTTTGTACAAAGATAAAAGGCCGAAAAATATGGTCTTTCAATGTCTCACTCACAGCACAGTTAGCAGCAAAACTCATCTTGGAACCAAGGACTTCAAGAAGTTCTGGGAAGTTCTCGCTCTCCTGTTTTGCTTTAGATGCAGGGGACTCAAAGCAAGAGGCTGTCGTGGTTCTAGGAGCTTAACAGGTGTTAGAAAGAAAGGCTGGAAAACTGATCTAATCCTTACTCTCCGTGTGGTAGATTGGGGCTCACGACCTGGGGCTTCGTCAGAGATTACGCTGGCGAGCGCCTTTCCTCCCGGCTTGGTTTCGTCATGACTGGCCTGGGAAGCCTCTCCTAACCCTCCCTGACACTTGCTCCTGTGTCTAGGCTTGGACCTTCCCTGTTCTCCTTATCACCCTGTGAGAATTCATCTGATCCCTTATCTGTCCCCAGCGGCTCCATGAGCAGGCACCTTTTCGGATTCTTCTCTATGGCCCCAGCACCCTTCATGGGCCTTATCCTGGGAGATGCTCAGAGAAAGCCTTACACTGAACAGATGCCTTGCAGACAGTGACCAGCGTGTACTCCCGTTCTCAACACATCCCCTTACACGCTCTATTCCTGTTGGCCCCATGAGCAAGGGCACGATTTGAGCAATGAACTCAGGTGCCGCGGGTCATAGCAATGGCTTCTCTGGGGGCCTTGCCAACGTCCATCAGTTTCCGAAAGATGACTGCATGCCAATTTTATAACAGAAACTGAAGCTCTGGGAGG